CTTGTTATTACCTGCCATTTTTATTATAGCCATCCTAATGGGTGAGATTGTGAGCATCTTTTCATGTGCTTATTGGCTATCTGTATATCTTCTTTGGAGAACTGTCTATCAATGCCTTTACCTATTTTCAGTTGGGTTATTTCTCTTTTATTATTGAGTTGCCAGAGTTCTTTATATATTCAGGATATAATCTTTATCAGACATATAATTTATATTTTCCTAATGCAATTTTGTCTAATTCTTTTTTTTTTTTTTTTGTCATTGGAAGAAACAGAAAAACTAAAGATTCAATATTAACATACTGATTGTATATATTCTTGGTCAATGTCCTTTTACTTCCATAAGCTGGGCCTCCCCTATCAGAAAAGCATTGAAGTAACTTTCTTAAGGTAATACCATTGAGTACTTCCCTCCAGCTTGCTTCTCTCCGCCACCTGTCACTCACTCACTGTTGCTCACCTGTACTCTTTAAATACTCCTGACCAGTGTCCCTGGATCTCTGCTTACCCTTTTCCAACCCACTCTCCATCTTGAAGCCAGAGGGATCTTTTCAAAATGCACGTCTCATCATTTCACTACCCTGCTTAAAATTCTTTAATGTTTACCCATTGCTCTTAGGATGACATTTAAAAATATTAACGTGGCCTGCGAGACCTGCGTGGCCCACCTCTGGGCAGTTCTCATCTCTCAGACATCCCCTGCCCCCTGCCTTTGTCCTGGCCCCAGTGTCTTTTCCGCCTGGGAATCTGTGCCTGTGCTGTTCCTTCTGTCTAGAGTGAGTTCCCTGCGCCCCCTTTACCTAACTATCTCCCATTCATTTCCAGATTTCCAGGTTGATGTTATAACATATGGAAACCTACCTATATTTTCAGGATCAGGAAACATTAGCAGGTTTCTATGTTATAATATTGAGTGAATAAATCATTAACTGTCTAGCAAGTTGTCTGATGTCGGCCTCTGAGGACTGTGTCCTCCTGGCTTTCTACCAGCCCCAGCAACTAGCCTTGTACATAACAAGGCTAAATATGCATTGGTTGAATATATGGAATATCTGAGTTCCGCCTTGAGAGCTGGTATACAATTTTTGATTTCTGCTGTGACAAATGGCCACAAATCTTGTGGCTTAGAACAACATAGATGTATTCTCTTAAAGTTCTGGAGATCAGAAGTCTGAAATGGGCCTTATGGGGCTACAATCAAGGTGCCATCAGGGCTGGTTCCTTCCAGAGACTCTGAGAGAAAACAGTTTCCTTGCCTTTTCTGGCTCCTGGAGGCCACCTGCATTCCTTGGCATGTGGCACCTTCGTTGCTTCACTCTAACCTGTTGCTTCTGTTGTCCTATACCCTCTTCTCTGATCTTCTGGGTTCCTCTGATAAGGACCCTTGTGATTACATTGGACCCATCGGATAATCCCAGGTAATCTTTCCATCTCAAGATCCTTAACTTAATTTGCAAAGTCCCTTTTACCATATAAGGTAATACATTCTGGGGATTAGGTTATGGATATCTTTGGGGAGGGCGCATTGTTCAACCAATCATAGATAGATATACCAGTTTGCATGGATAGATAGAAACCTGGTCATTTATTCAAAGGTATGCTAAGGCTCTCTTTGGCCTTTTGGGACAGTCATAATTGTCTTTATTTATAATGCACCACATCCGAATCCCCATTCTGAGCATCTGACCCCATACTCTTCTTGCCTGAGTAACCCCACTGAGACATGCTTGGACCACATAGAGGCAGCCAATCCTTTGCCCTCATCACCATCCTGACACCTGTTAGTGCTTCCTGGCTCCCCTTTTTCTTTGTCCAGGTTAGACTCCATGGTCTATCTTTATAATCACCCCCGAGACTACCTGCACCTCCTCTGTCCCTCTCTCTCTGGAGCTCCTGCCACACAGGGACACTAGATGTAACAGACTTTACTAGAGCTAGGGCTGTCAGATAAAACAGACATTTGAATTTGAGATAAACAAGCATTCTTTCCGTATAAGAATGTCCCAGATATCTTCTGGGACATATTATACTGAAAAACAGTTGTTGTTTATCTAGAATTCAAATTTAACTGGGCATCCTGTATTTTTAATTACTAAATTTGGCAACTCTAAGTACAGCCTATGAGAGAACCATGTCACATTCCATCCCTGGTCCAGTCACCGGCCGCCCCTCATCACAGGGATAGAGGCACCTCGTTCCTTGCCACACTGCTAGGCAGTCCCTGCGAACTCCATGTGCCCTCTTTTCTCCTAGGAGTCTCAGCAACCTCCCCAAGCAAACAGAACAAAATCCTTCTGTCTCCTGCCTTCGCTCCCTTTCTCTCCTCTCAAACCCTGGCCCAGGGTGCACTGGGGAGGGGTCCTGGCCTTGCCTTGATAATCAAGCTCATTAAAGTGCTTTCCTAAACAAAAGGGCAGCTCTTCCTGAGATGGATTTGCTACCCTCTGCTCCCGCTCCCCGAACCCAATCACAGGAGATGCCCAAACTCAAAAACAGCCGCAGTCAGTTATTGCTTCTTTAATAGTGCTTTTTTTCCCCTTCCCTCAGGAGCCTGGGAATGGAGTTAAGCTAGAATCAGTGGTCAGGAAATGGCAAATGGTGTATCAGACTGCGGGGTCATGCAAAATGCTCAATGGGGAACAAGGGGGAATAAGAGGGATACAGACAAACTTGGGGAAGGTCCAAGTAGGCAGAGCGGGGTGTTCCTTTTGTGCCGCTGTTGCTTACATACCCAGGCTGGGGACGGAACTGTAAAGGCCCTGGACTAATCCAGAAAGAACAAGGCTACTAGTGGATTCCAAACTTTGCACTGGCAAGGTCTCTTTCTACTTATTTTCTCCTAACGTTTTTACAAACTTCATTAATTAGAGATTCATAGTTTTTATAGTTATTATAGTTATTATGCAGATCGCATCCCACCATTCTTTCATTCTTAATCCACAAGAAAAATTCTCAATTCAACTACTACATTTTTGCAGTGCCAGAAACACAGCAGATTGCAACACTTGTAAAGGGTACACAATGTTCTCACAAGAAGCAATCTACCTAAAAATGTGGGCATGTCTGCTGTCTCTGTTGTTACAACTCAGCAGGATGTGTAATAAAGAAAAATTTCCCGGCAGGTGAAAGCAAGTTCCTTGAGTATAAGCAAAACATATGCTTTGTTTAACAAATGTACCTCTCTCAAGATTTTAATGCAGTATAAGGGTTGAGAATGAGTTTGAATGAGTCATGCTTCAAGGCAGCAGTTTATTTTATGATACACGCCATCTTTGAAAGGAGACTTTGTTAGGGTCCTTGGCCAGCTACATCAGGGGTCCCTAAGACCACTCTCATTTTTACTTAAAAATGAATATGCACTTCCCATCTTCTCTCTAATACACCTCTGTTGCATTTATTGAAAAATAAAGTTTTAAACACAGTGATCCCCCTATTATCCAAGGAGGACATGTTCCAAGCCCCCCAGTGGATGCCTGAAACCATGGACAGTACCAAATCCTATACATACTGTGTTTTTTTTCCTACACATACATACCTATGATAAAGTTTAATTTTTAAATTAGGCACAGTAAGAGATTAACAATACCTAATAATAAAATAGAACAATCATAACAATATACTGTAGTAAGAGTTATGTGAATGTGGTCTCCCTCCTTCTCTCTCTCTTCCTCTGATAACTGATCTGATAAGCAAGACAGTTACTGATTGATTAACAGCATGGAGATGCTGGACAAAGGAATGATTCACATCCCAGGCATGACAGGACAGCTCAAGATTTCATCATGCTACTCAGAACGACTCTCGACTTAAAACTCATGAATTGGTTATTTCTGAAGTTTTCCACGTAATATTTTCAGTCCCCGGTTGACTCTGGGTAACTGAAACTACAGAAAGAAAAACCATGGATAAGAAGAGACTGCTGTACATGCTTTTGAGGAAAACTGATGAAGAGGAATTTTCACTCAGAAGGCTAACCTTATAATCAGCTCTTTGTTCTGCTTCTGTAGGTATGCTTGCTGCATAGGACCTAGGGCAGGGTAACCTCGAAATTAATGAAAGACTCATCCTCCCTTTTGCTTGTTCTGTCTAAGTAACAAATGTAACTGCCTGTAACCCATAGCAACTCTCACAGTCTGTAACCGTCTGAGGACAAATTAGCCAATCGGCCCATGCCAAGTCAGCCCCATAAAAGCAAAATTGCCCCTGAGCTCAGGGCCCAGATCCTCAGAGCGCTAGCTCTTCTGGGACCGCCAGCGTAATAATCCTGAGTTCTCCAATTCTCCAAGTGGTGCTTAGTTTCCCGCTGGTCTGATTTTTGCAACATTCCTGCAATACTGACACTACAAATTGTGGTGCGTAGTTCAAGGAGTGTGTCAAAACCAGGGGTGCTCTTGCCTGGGGTTTAGTGATCACGGGGCTGGCAGGCCCATGAAGGCTGATTTTTTTATGGATGAGGTGAGGAAACCTCAAATGGGTTGGGGAACCATCACATAGGCACACACAGAGCCAATGGAGCCTCACCAAGCCAACACAGGATCTGCCCGCTGTTCACTTCATGATGGGATGGTGGGCAAGTCACTTAATCCACCTAAAGCACAATTTCTTCAACTGTAAAAAGGGGACATCATAGCACCTACCTTGGCCATGGCCTCGGTCCCTGTGCTCCCCAGGAGGCCCTGTGTCCCATGTACACTGGCCAACACCTGACCACTCCAGCTTCCCAAGGGATGTTAAAGTCTCTTTCCAGCCACTCTCCATCCCGGAGGAATGGGGGGATGACTGTTATCTCCGCACAGAGAGAGAGCCATGCCACCGGTTCTTTTTGGAACCAAAAAAATCTGCTCCAGGTGGCCTTCTGGGTCCAGGTCTAGAAACAATGGACAACTTTTAAAAGTCAGAATCTCTGTTTTTATTTTATTTTCAATCTTTAATAAAATCGTTAGTATTTCGTCTGATGTTCTATCATCATTTTAATATGTGAAAAATGTTCTTTGAATGCAGGAAAAATATCGTCGACCCAGAAGATCCCCGATGTGCCCGGTTAACATTCACCGGCCAGATGATTACGGTGTCTCCCGAAGAAGTGGAATTTGCCAAACAAGCCATGTTTTCAAGGTTTGTATGTGCTTTAAAGTTGGTTTGCCCAGAAACACATGGTAATAAAAGGCAGAGGTCAGGGCTGTGCCATGTAAAACCTCTGAGTCCGTGACAATAATGGTCTGAGCTGTGGCAGCACTGCCAACCTCACGCTGGCTGTCTTAGGCGTTTTTCCCAGTTTGCACTTGGACTTAGAATTTTGTTTGTAACATTTTTAGGTATAAATAAAATTTTTATTTTTATGAAGTGTTTAAAAAGTGAGCCACAGCCCATGCCCTTAACGATAAGGGGAGAAGGCAAGTTGGTAAGTGGCAGAAGGCTTCCTTGCTGTGAGTGGCATCCCTGTCCACTCCGGCTGGCTCTCAAATCGGCCCAACAGTTGCAAGTCTGCTGCAGAAATGGAAACCTTCCAGTGAATAGGTTTGTTTCATGGGCTCCCGATTCTTTCAAGGTTTCATTCAGAGACACCTAAAGCCATTCTTTCTGCTTTCTGACACAATAACTGACATTCACTGAGCCCTTCCTCTATGCAGTTGCTTTTTGTGTGCCTAATTGTTTCCTCCCACACATTCCTGTGGTCTGAGCACCACTGTTGTCATCCCATATGATAGGTGAGGAAACTGGGGCTTCAGAGAGCAAACCACCCACAAGGCATCACAGCATCAGCAGTCAAACTGGGATGTGAACCAAGGAGCCCGGTTCAAGACTTGAGCTGTTTGTTACTTTGTGGGAACAACAGTCCTGCCTTCCTAAGGTTGTCCCAGACCCCATCCCTGACTCCTCAGCTTTTGTTTCTGGCTAGGCTGAGCAGATAGGGAGCTGGGTGACCTGCCAGAGGACACTAGAGTTGGGACCTACACTCTGGGAGGGTCTTACCTCTGGCATGAACAGCTGCATCACACCCTCTCCTTTATTCCCTAGACACCCGGTCATGAGGAAGTGGCCTCGCCAGTATGAATGGTTCTTTATGAAGATGAGGATACAACACATCTGGCTTCAGAAATGGTATGGAGGAGTAGTGGACATTTCAAGGGAGGAATATTTCAAAGCAGTTCCAAGAAAGGCCTGATGGAGTGAGAAGCAAGTCCTTGGCATTTGTGGAAAATGAAAACCTTTTAAGTGATGCTGCCAGACAGCTACTGGCTGCTGTCTCTTTACGGAAGGTTCGGAGCAGCCCTGTCATCCTCACAGTAGATTGGAGAGGGGGACTAGGGCACCCCTTGCTAAGACTGGAGACTAACGTGGTTGTTTGCAAATCCCCAATTCACACAGATACTTCACACGTATCGTCCTCGTTTACATTGTATTCAGTCCAGACTCACCTATTTGGGAATTACTGTTGGTTGTCAAAGTGACGTGTTGAGATAGTTCCTGTTCCATTCTTTAAGACAGAAAAAAAAAAGAAGATGCCTGTATGTATAATGTGATTGCTTTGTATTGTGAGAGTATTTTTGTCGCTTGCTGTACCAAAAGCAGTGTCTTGGTTCAAAGCTCATAGCAACCACAGAGGTACTAAATATGAGTCCCAAAGCCACAATTTTGTGTTTATGGTGAGGGTGCAGGATTTTTTGTCTACGGATTAGTCATCATGCTGCTGGATTGCAAACGCGTAAGAAGTACCATTTGCTAGAATGTATTGGTCACCTAGGGAACTTTTTCCTCACTGTGACATGATGAACTATGCAAGGACACACACAGTTTTGCGCACAGCCCTGTTCTATGTAAGCAGGACACAGAGGTACGTTGTTTGGGGCCGGGGAGCCAGCTTTGGCAGGAAGCTCCCTGACTCCACGGCTCATGCTTCTAACAGAGGGCTCACTTCTCTCAGGCCTGAGGAGTGGAGTCCGAAATAAAAAGCATCTCTTTCTGTGCTTTATAGAGAGGAGAGAGGTGGGGTGAACCTGGGAAGGAAGCAAAGGTGACATGTAAGAGAAAGAAGGAAAGAAGCCAGTAAGGGATGGCGTGCTCCCTGCCCAGCCTCGGGCCCGACCCTTGGCAGGGTCATCTCATTTAGCCTTACAGCCAGTGAGATGCGTACTGTCATTGTCACTTTCAGGCAAGAAAACTGAGGCTCAGAGGAGCTAAGTCAACATCTCCAGGTCTGACTCCAGACCTCACTGAATGCAATGAATGGAGGGGTACCTGGAAGACCCATTTTTAAGAACAAAAGAGCAAGACAAAAGAATTACTGAAGTGCACAGCCAAGATCTCTTATATTAACTTCAACAGAGAATCTAGCAGTACTCAGTTTTCTGTCTTTCTGTAATGGCTATAAACCCTCTTTGGTGGGTTAGGTATGTTATATAACATAAAAATGCATCGCTACATATAGGATATACACATTTTTAAGATAAACAAAAGCGTTACTAATGGTTACACACTTGTTTAAAAAATTAAGACATGAAGAGTTTGAGTTGTCCAAATATTTTTAAGTGCCTGTTACTAAAAGCATAGTAAGATGCACAGAATTCTTTATTCATTAAAAGCCAATTCTCAAGAGTTCCTAACAATAGCAATTTTTAATATAAAAGCATAAGATGACAGAAGATATTTAATATTTTCAGAGTTTAAAGTTATGCTACTCCCATTTTAGAGATTAGAGGGGAAAACTGGAAGGACTAACTACATACTCTGGAAGTCACCTTGAACCTTAATTCTTTGGGCATCACTGCCTCCTGGTCCTGTCTTGTGGATAATGTTCCCATGCTAGGTTTGCTTTTATAATCAGGTTCCTCATTAAAGGTCACCCTTCTGCTTCAAGGGGCTTTGCAGTATGGGTGCCATTCATAACCACTGATGAATGTTATTAGTTATAGATCTGAATTACAGGAAACAAAATCTGAACAGGTTGGATAACTAAGAAGATTGTTGAATAATGTGTCTGTTTGAGACTGATGGACCCTATTCAGGGCAGTAAGTTTCAGCAAATCTCTAGAAATTTACATTGATTAAAATTTTAAAGACCATACCGGAAGTTTAGAAGTGGCAGTAAGGCAAGAAAAGGAAAATGCATAAGACTGGAAAGAAAGAAATAAAAGTATCCCTGTTTATAGATGACATAATTGTCTACATAGAAAATTCCAAAAGATCTATTTAAAAAAAAAAACAAACCCTCCTAGGACTGGAAAATGAGTTTAGCGAGGTCTCATGATACAAGATCAGCACAAAAAATTTAATTGCATTTCTATGTATTAACAATGAGCAAAATGGAGACCAAAATTAAAAACACAATACCATTTACAATCACTCCAAAGAAAGTAAATACTTAGGTATAAATTTAACAAAACACGTACCGGATCTATATGCTAAAACTTAAAAGATGCTAATAAAAGAAATTAAAGACCTAAATAAGTGAAGAGATATACTATGTTCATAGATTGGATGACACAAAATAGTAAAGATATCAATTTTTCCCAGATTCAGCTATAGGTTTAATGCAATTTTTATCAAAATCCTAGCAAGGGTTTTGTAGACATATTCAAACTTATTCTTAAAGTTCCAAGGCACAGACCTTGAAATAGTTAAAACAATTTTAGAAAAGAAGAATAAGTAGGAGAAATCACTCTACCCAATATAAAGATTTATTATGTAGTTACAGTAATCAAGACAATGTAGTTTTGTTGGAGTCATAGACGCATAGATCAATGGAACAGAACAGAGAATTTAGAAATAGACCCTTATAAATATTCACAACTGACTTTTTTTTTATAAAGGTACAAAACTAATTCAATGGAAGGAAGATAGTCTTTACAATAAATATGCTGAAGCAATTGAATATCTATAGGCAAATAAAAAGAACCTCAACTTAAACCTCCTACCTTATATAAAAATGAACTCAAAATAGACAATACCTCGAAACATTAAATGTAAAGCTATTAAACTTTTTTAATAGAAAATTTGGAGGTCCTAGAGCTAAGCAAAGAGTTTTTAGACCTGCCACCAAAAGTACAATTCAGAAAGGAAAAGTTTGATAAATTACACTTCATCAAAAATTTAAACTTTTGCTCTGAAAAAGACCATGTGAGAGAATGAAAAGATACATAGTGGGAGAAAATATTTGCAAACCACATATCCAACACAGGACTAGTGACTAGAATATACAGAGAACTCTCAAAACTCAACAGTTTTTTTTTTTTTTTAAGTCCAATTCGAAAATGGAGAGCATGAACAAACATTTCACTGAAGAGGACATACGAATAGCCAATAAGCACATGAAGAGATGCTCAATATCATAAGTCATCAAGGAATTTCAAATTAAAACCACTATGCACCTACCAAAATTGCTAAAATATAGTAACACCAAATACTGGCAAGGATGCAGAGCAACTGGATCAGTCATATACAGCTGGTGGGGACATAAAATGGGAACAGAAAACCATTTGGCAGCTTCTTATAAAATTAAACATGCAACTGCCATACCACTCAGTAATTGCACTCCTAGGCATTTAGCCCAGAGAAATGAAAAATTATGTTCGCACAAAAACTTGTATATAAATGTTCATAGCAGCTTTTTTCGTTCTACTCAAAAACTATAAACAACCAGATGTCCTTTAATGGGTGGCTGGTGAAGCTAGTTGTGACACATCCATGCCATGGAATTCTACTCGGCAATAACTAATTTAATTTCTGATATGAGCAACAATTGGATGACTCCAGAGAATGATGCTGAGTGAAAAGGCCAATCTCAAAAGGTTGCATACTATATAAGTCCATTTACATAACATTTTGAAATGCAAAAGTCTAGAAATGAAGAACAGATTAGGGGTTGCCAGGGAGGAAGACGGGGAAGGAGTGAGGTGGGTGTGACTATAAGAGTAACACGAGAGATCCTCATGGTGATGGAAATGTGCTGTAACTTGACTATATCAATGTCAAAATCCTGGTGGTGATATAGTACTATAGTTTTTGCAAGATGTTGCCATTGGGGAGAACTGGGTAAAGTCACACAGGATCGCTTTGTGTTATTTCTTATAACTGCATGTGAATCTACAATTATCTGCAATTATTTCAGAATCTACAGTTATCTCAGAGTAAAAAGTTTAATATAAACAAAATTTACGCCTTAGCTATCTCTCTTGTTGGTTCTTAATGAAACGAAGAACAGAGCTATGTGCCAAAATTTAGCAGAACAAACATTAGTTTTCTTTTGTTAAGCACTAACGTATGCATTTGTGGAAGAGATAGAAGACTTCTCTAAAAGTTTTCTAGATGTATTCAATTTAATATTGAATACAAACTAATTAGAATTCAGCAAATCTGCTGTTTAGATTTCATGTGGGACACTTAGAAGGGGAAGATATCTTTAAGTTTCTGACATAAAGATGTTGATTAAGCCATCATTGTAAGTAGGTATTCAAGTCTGCACATAATGATTCTCCATGGATGTTTACAGCAAGGAACTATTATATTTCCCTTCATCTTCCTCTAAACATTGTGAGGAAGAATTCTTCTTTTGTTTCTGTGAATAAAGCTATATCTTGATCCCCATGTTTTTTATTGATGGCGATTGTACATGTCCATAACCTTGGTGTAGAGAGTAATTCTGATGTTATTTGTTTCAATATGCCTTATATACACTGACTTGTTACAAATGAGTTGTTTTTTGGTTGAAGTGTTTTTCTACAATATTTCTAGTAAGTCTATTTTTCATTTTAAATAATTTAACCATCAAACACTATTCTGAAAATAAACTTCTCTAGAATAATTTATTGATGCTTGTTTGATTGTAATAATGGACAGCAAGTCAATTATTATAAAATTCGAATTATAATGAAGCTCTGTGCATGTGGAGTGTAAAATCTATTTTCAAAGCTGGATATGTCTGTTTAACCAATGACTGTTTCATTTCTGATATGATTTCCATGCCTGATTAAATAAAATTGATATTTATATATAGTTCTATCATGTAGTATTACAAATTGACATTGTAAGATTTCTAAGAAAATAGAGGCTGTTGCAATAAATCAGCAGTTAAATTTCCAATAGATAAGCAAAGAATTAGCCAGGTGACTTCTGTCAACACAATCTTTAGGGCTCTGAGTACAATGCACTTAATTTGCAGACCCGAAGGTGCTGAAGTAGCTGCACTGTGGTTCCCATTGTTGGAAGTATTTGCCATTTTTAGCATAGTTGTTATTCCTAGAGTTGAGGAGTACAAAAAAGCTCCATTTTACTGATGAGAAAACGTGTCCAAGGGGTCAAAAAATGGACAAGAATGACACACGCCCACGAGAACAGTTAGTTCTGCAGCTTCTATGGGCCACCCATCATACTCCAGCTTCTCAGAGATGTTCCTGTCCCCACTCAGACTGACCAGCCAGCCCACTTCACCCGGGCCTGAGCGTTCCCCAGGACATGGGATTTTCAGTGATAAAGTCAGGAAAGTTGTGGGTGAACTGGTGGACTTGTTACCCATCCTCCAGTCCACCTCGGGCCCCCATGTCCTGAGCAGGTTATCTCCAGAACTGCCCCACCAGAAACACTTGCCTTCAGACATCTCAACTCACCCTCATCATCTGACTCACAATCTCTAGAAGCTGTTAAAATGGCTAAAGAAGAGAATTTCAGTGATATAAACAAACTTTAACACTTCATGGTTCCCAAGGTTTCATAGAAGTGTAACACAGGGTGGAAGCTTTCTTCATAAGCTAAAGCAGGTGTTCTCAACCCCTAGACCAGCACAGCACAGCACAGCACAGCGCAGCGCAGCACAGCACAGCACAGCACAGCAGGAGGTAAGTGGCAGGTGAGTGAGCTGAGCTTCATCTGTGTTTGCAGCCGTTCCTCAGCGCTAGCATCACCACCTCAGCTCCACCTCTGATCATCAGGCATTAGATTCTCATAGGAGCACCAGCCCCCGGTGCCAAAAAGGTTGGAGACTGTTGGGCTAAAGAATGAGCTACAAAGAAGTAAGCATAGAGACCAGAGCTGCCTTGCCATTTGGGGGCTGGCTGACTGGATATCCTGCATTTCTACTCAAACAAAGCATTTACAGGGATGCAAAAGATATCTAAGTTGTGGTGTGCTGACAGGGCACCCTGGGCAAGACTGGCTCCACCTTGGATCTGGAAATTTATGTCAACAAAGGTGACCAACAACAACAACATGGTGGGATGATGGTGGTGAACAAGGCACTGGCCTCAGGACGCTTATGTTCTGTAAACAACATAGGTTTTGTAAACAGGTTTTAAAGCCAGGGAATCCGATAATACCTGCAGGTGCTGTTCCATCATTCGGCCAGTCTCCTCGACATTCCCACCATTTTCTGTTGGAAGCACATGCACACCCCAGCCCGGAGAAATCCAGTGTTCATCTCTGCACCTCAACCGAGAAAAGCCACAACTGCAAGAGTTGGTCCCACCTTAAAGCTGGTGTCCACATCCTCAACTGGGCCCTCCATGCTGCCCGAGGACCCTAGCATGGTCCTCCCTCCATTCTCTTAAACAGATGTTTTGAGTTTTCTCCACCATCTTCAGCCATTACAGCCCATACCTTCATTCTCCTCATTCTCAGCAAAAATCAATCATGCTTCCCAGGGGACACTCTAGCCTTCAGATGAGAGCTCCTTGTACCTTCTTACAGAATATTCTACAACAGCACAGCCCCTTTCCTTCTCTTCTGCTCAGAGAGCAAGGCAAGGTTTATCAGAGGTAGAAGCTGGTGAGATGGAGGAAGGGCAAAACAAAGCGGAGGTTGGGGTGTTTTTTCAGGGTGGTAGACATGTCACATCATGGGAACTAAGGTGCAGAATGAATGAAGTGAAGGCAGGAGAGGGTGATGCAGAGAGAAGCTGGACCATCGGGGGACCCAGTTAAACAAAGAACAGCTGTGGTACTTGAGTAAATTAGTTAGAACAGAGAGAGCTGTGTGACCCAGGAATCTCCAGAGCCAAGCCATCAGTGATGACAAAAGCCATGGCTATAAAAATGGCTGTTGATGGGACCAGAAGATGGTGCCAGGGTGAGTCAGGTGCCATGGTCAGTGAGTGAAGAAGCATGAGTGAGCAGGAGGTGGGGAGGTGCTGGCGGAAGGAGATAAAGAGGCTGATATGAGGCATCGGAACCCATCCTGGTGTTAGCTCTTGTTGAGATTATCCTAAAGACATAAGCTTTAAAGGAGTCCCTTTGTTCTGTCTCATTTAACTAGAGAAGTAATGATTTATAAAGCAGTAACATGGAATTTAAAATAGACTGGCAGAGCTTGAGGCCATTGTTTCCTAGCTCTGTAAATTTCGGAACTTCGTGAATCCTTTGAATCTGTTTCCTCATGTATAAAATGAGATGATTATAATATAGTGTCTGGCGCACCATAAAGGTTAAAGAAACAGTGGCATTCGTACGACAGTGTTTCCACATTGTATATTAGTCATTTGTCCACATGCAGTCTCCTCAGCAAGGCTGTGAGCTCCCAGAGGTTGACTGACTGATGTCACACATGGTCCCATTTCCGGCTCATGGTAAGTATTGGGCAAATGGTTGTGGCAAGATGGATGTGTTATCTGCAGCTTTGGGCCAGCACTTCCTCAGGCCTTAGTGAGTATCTTTCACTGGCTCGTTACCTTTTCTTCCCCTCCTGCTGTGAATCTCCTCCCTAGTTTCCTTGCTCCTCATCAAGGTCATCTGTCTTCCTGACCCCTTCCACATAAACAGCCGACTTTCCCAGAGCTTCTAGCAAAACTTCCTAGCTCCCAAACCTGGCAATTTGTTTCACCTGGCTGCAGAAAGAATTGCTCCGCCCCCTGGTGGCTGTACCTGGGAACCTCACCTTTCTCAGAACCCAGAATCCAAGCAAGAAAGAACTTTGGGTCCAGAATGCAGAATCCAGGCCAGAAACTGTGGGCCCAGGAGCCACCTTTTTTGAAGCATCCCTAGTGGACACACATACACCCAAGCTCTCCTCTTTGAAACTATACTCAGACCGATGTTTTCTTGCACACAATGAGAGGACAAACACAAATACTTTGTGAATGAAAAAGGGGTTACATGGCAGGCCTGACAAGCTCAGTGACCGAAAGTAACCTGACAAGGATGATCTAATCATAAATTCCTAACTGAACTGGTCATGGTAGGTAGTCACGTCCCAGGCCTACAGCTTCCTTAGTAAAAAGTTAATCTTTACCTTAAGCGAGCCCTGCCCGTTGTCTATGCATCTAGGTTATTATACCTTTGAAATGTCAAAGTAATTTTCTTTTCCAGATTCCTTAGAGGCATAACCTCAGGCACCAGAGCTCAAGGCTATGAAACCCCTGGTTATCTTGTTATCCGCATACAATCACTATTTACTGTAAAGGTTAGATGTTAACTCTCCTCCACCTATGGATTAAAAGTGGATATCTCTCCATTTTACTTTTTATCCCATCCTAGAGATTCCCCCCCTTTGCTTTCTCCTGCCTCCTTAATCTACCATCAGTGGATTTCATGTAACCTTCCTTATGTTTCCTTCTTTGATTCTAAGAGCGTAAAAAGAAGGGCCAAACTGCCATTCTCTGGAGCATATTCTCAATCCATTGTGATCTTACCTCCAAGCACGTCCTCAGTTATGGGCTCAAGTAAATACTTATAAAATTTTTCTATAAGTTAGGACTATCTTTCATCAACAACTTATGACATTTTGATAGTGACATTTTAATTGCATATTTGAGTTCATTCTAAATTATTTATTTGTATTTGCATTATTTATAAAGGACAATTTAATTATTTAATTACAGCAGTTACTGTAATTGAACTCCTGCTATGAGCTAGGCATTTTACATACTTTTTTTTTTTTAATTGCGTTGAGTTTTTACAGCCGCCCAGCAAGGAAAAAAATGTTTCTGTTTTCTATGTTGGAAACCTGTGACTCAGAAAGTTCTCAGCGGGAGTCACGACGGGTGGAGGCCAGTGGGTGCTTAGCCCAAGACTGTCTGACTCCAGCCTTTTCTCCCCACTTTTAATACTTTGGGGTGTTAAAGAGAAAACCACAGGCCCAAAATGGTGTCACTTTTGTGCTAAAGCCCATGATACCTAACTGCCGTTTTGACCTAATCAACCAGCCTGGAATGTTCTGGTCAATACCAATGAGATCATCTGTCACGGTGGGCCCTTTCCATCCCCCATGGAGAGAAGAGAAAATCTACATGATAAAAACCCTTGTCATTCTCTCTCCCCACCCCCAAGGATGTCCTGGTCTAAAGCTAATGCTGTCTTTCCTTTTATCAATAGCTCCCTTGCCCCACCCTTCTCCCTGTAAAAATCTTCCATTTTGCACACCCCTCAGAGCACCCTTCTATTTGCTACATGGGATGCTGCCCAGTTCAAGAATTGCTTATAAAGCCAATTAAACCATCAGATTTACTCAGTGAGATTTTGTTCTTTAACAGGAGTTTTAAGAAAGAGCCCAGTCTTGTCTGCATAGCTTTCTTTCTCATCCTTCCATTCCCACCCCGGTGAGTGACCATGCCTGGTATGGCCGCAGGGTCAGGCAGGGCTGCTTCCAGCAGACATGGGACCATAAGTCAGTGAAGAACTTACTGAGAGTCAGTTCCTGTGTTAGCCCTTCGCCAGCTGGACATTCATCAGTCCTTGCAGCGACCTGGGAGGTCAGCCTTCATTCTATTTGCCAAGTGAAGAAACTTGCTTAGAGTCATGCAACTGGTAACTGGTAGCACCCTGTGTGAGCCCACACTTCTATGTCCACCCTCTGAATTACTACCTAACATGCTTCTTTATGTGGTTTTCAGTATCAAATTGTGAGTCAATTTTTTATTTTGATTCGGTACTACAAGAACAATAAATCAAATGTAGAGCCACAGCCCACAGGGAGGCAGGAAGATTTTGCCATCCTCCCCACCCCTAGCCCACTTCCTCTTGGAACTTTGGCTCTTCCAGCCCTGCCAACCACTTTGGAGCTAAGTCCCT